TAAATCAGACACATGTTGTGCATACTAGTCCGTCTTCGCCCTTCATTTACAAAGTCACAATGACTGGCATCTGGTGAAAATGGCTCCCCTCATGTCAGAAAAGTAAGAAAAGTGCTACCCATCAGTGTGGCTCTATTTTCTCTTTGATGGCTGTTCAGACTCTGACCCCACCACCCTTCTCCCAGAGCTACTAAAAGAACAGATAAGAGCGACTTCAAAGGCAGGCCTGCTTTTTCTGCTCTGATCTAAAAGCAGGCAAATGAAGGACAGGCAGATTTGTGTAGCCAAATAGCTTTGGGGTGTGTAGTGTTTAGCGAGCATGTAGACATGCTTTCCTTGGTAGATGTGATTGATTATCGTAGCCCTGTTTAAGGCTGCTAAAGAACCAATCCTACCATCTACCAATTCTTTCTCACGCACCTAACTACTTTACAATGACCGTAGAGCATTTTCCTCCATGTATAGGTTTTCCACAGCAGTGGGATTTAAAGGGTTCATTTCAAAGTGTTTCACCTAGATTTTGTTTAATCAACTGACTCAAGCTTGTGTTTTTTAGGGTGACTGGCAATCAGCTGAGTTTTTAAGACTGGATTTGTGTCCAGGCTTTTTCAAATGTTGTTATTTTATTTGGAAAGACAGCTTGGGTTATCATCACCAGAAAGCAGGGGTGTTTTCCCTAATCTTGCCAGCCTTAATACCCAGCCAGAGACAACCCTTCTGCTGCAGTGACTGAGGAGGCTATCAGATACCCTAGGCGAAGATATTCTCTCTTTCAGTCCTTAAGCTGACGCTGGACGACATGTGTGTGTATGTGTCTGTCTATGTGTATTATTCAATGTCTATTCACTATCTCTCGGGTGGATATCAGAAGCAGCATCACAAATGAGATGAGGCCCACAAGAGTAAAAAGATACCGGAGGGGAAGCTTGTGCTGCTTTACAACTTGGAGTGAGTGAGTTAGAGCAGTTTATGAAACAGTTTTAGATGGTTGCAGCTTTAGGGATCCATCATGAATATTTCAAAATACAGATTGTTTTTGCTCAGTTCTGTGCACAAAGCTGTATTAAATAAGGAACCTTGTATCACGTATAGAATCATAAGCATATCATGGCAACCTGAGGCCCTTCAGATAATAAAATGTCTACCAAAACACATGAGTTGTGTTTAAATTGGGGGAAGCTGCAGAAAGAGAGTCAACACTCATTTCTACTTTAATGACGCTAATGTATGAAACAAAGTAAAAAATGCAGTGTGGAAGGTTTGCCCTTTTGTAGCAGTCTGCCTCATATTGATCTGACTAACGTTTGTAAGCAGACAGCGCCTTGCTCTGCTAGCCTGAGGAGCAAGCTATGGATTATTCCTCTTTAATCCCTTGTTTTTGCCTTGCTCTTTTCCCAATCTCATCCAGATGAAATGTGATTTTCATTTATTTTACCCCTCAGCACGAATGTTATCTTTACACCTCAGTCACGACAGTGTGCTGGGCATGTTATGGGGCTTTTGAGCTACCGTTTTAAATGCTGAGTGACTGGAGGGTGCTGCCTTTGTTACTGCTCCAGCTCCTATTTGCCTGCATTTTAATTACCCAACGGAATCCAGGCCTTTCTTCTGCTTTGGCCAGCCTCAGGACTTTAAGCTAGGACCCAACAAAACTCATTTCATTACTGGACTTTTGGCTATATAAACTTGGTCCAAACTTTTTGACAAGTCTGAGGCTTTGCTGCCGCAGTTGAAGTATCATGGTTACACAAGCAGTAAAAGTGGCGTGTAAACAGTGTTGATAAGCGCTCCGTGAGTATTTGTTACTCCTACACAATTAACCAATGTCTGTGGCCTTAATCAGGCTTTTTCTCAGTCACATTTTCCTCCCACGCTGTCTGCTCCAAGGCTTCTAAAATGGTTGCTGTCAGCCGCACTCACATTTTTTTCCCCCTCTCTGTGGCTCGACCCGATCACACTGTGGGCAGAAATACATGATCTGTATAAATTGAGATTTTGTAAGACGGTGGAGCTGCATGCTATTGCTTTTCTTTAATCAATTTTAAAGCGTTTGTACCTTGCTGCCAAAGCTGTGATGACACAGCATGATACTACTCACTACAGTCCTCTGCGTAAATGGCAGTTCTCCCGAAATGTACTTTGAGGTTGTTATCATGCATGCTAACGTGCTGATGTTGATAACACTACATCCGAGGCTAATGGGAACATCAACAGCAATATTCTGTATTTGGACAAATTAAAATTTTGACCAGGAGGTGGCACAAGATGAGAAGTCAGGGGGTCACTTAATTTACAATGCAATTACATGAAGGTTTGGACCAAATTTCACAGCAATCCATCCAATAGTTCCATTCAATTTTATTTATATAGCGCCAAATCACAACAACAGTTATCTCAGAGTGCCTTTCATAAAAGAGCAGGTCTAGACCGTACTCTGTGATGTTATTTACAGAAACCCGACAATTCCCACCAGGCGCAAGCTCGAAGCGACAGAGGCAAGGAAAAACTTCCTTTTAAGAGGCAGAAACCTCGAGCAGAACCGTGGCTCAGGTTGGGCGGCCATCTGCCTCCACCGGTTGGGGGTGAGAGAGAGAGAGAGAGACAGGCAGAGAGAGAGGGGAGGGAGGCCGCCTGCACAATATACACACAGAGGTACAGACAGTAAAGGTAAATGTTGTTGAGACATTTGAATCAAAACCACAAATGTCAACCTCTTGGTGGTAGTATTTAGGTTATGAACAATGAAGGTCATATTTGGGCCAATCCATCTACTAGGTGTTGCCATTTCACTGGACAAGCGAATACTTGGACCGGCAGGTGGCGCTACAGTAAAAGTCAAAGGATCTAAATCATTAGGATTCATCCTCCGGGGACCATGAATGTCTGCACAAAATGTCATTGCAATCCATCCGAGATATTTCTGTTTGGACCCAAGTGGTGGATCTAGACTGCAATACCAAGAGCCACACGGTGTGGCAAAAAGACAGATAAGATACTTACATTGGCTCATTGCATCCACTGACAGTATGCCTTCATAATGACAATTATATCACAAACAACACTTTGAATGTGAAGTTCTGGTGATTTTAAGAAAATATACAGTATCTCTGACTCTAAAGAATTCATAATGTGCTTAAAATACATCTTTGAAGTATTAATTATAATGTGAGCTACGCGTTCAAGTGGCGTGAATGAAATATAACTGGCCCCTGATATGCAGGGGCAGAGTTGGACTGACTGGCCTCTCTGTTCTCTGTAGTGGCTCTCCACTGAATAATTTAACCGAGCAAAAGAGGCGGCGCGAGAGATGAGATATGGATCGAAGATGATCTCAGGGCATGCTACAAGGAAATTGAATTTTCTGACGTCAGAATAAGCTGAAGAAGCATGAATGCACATGTGCAGGCGTGTGTGCACTAGTCATTATGTCGGGAAAGAGAGCTGGAACCACAAAGTAAGGGTCTCTCTTTGAAACACCTTCCTCTCTATCTTGCAAGACACTTTATTAATTCATAAATTCTCTCTGAGTCTCTGACCACATCTTCATTCTGACAGTTTCATCTCTAGAGACCACACAAACAGTTGAATGATAGCATTCTAGGAGGCGCACGGCGTCTTGACAGTTGCGTCCAGGTGATTGAGCAGGGCTGCGGGTGTGATTCAGCTGCCCCAACAATTGAATATTTCACAGCACTGGCTGAGTTATGACCTGCAGGCAGTGGAGAAGGTCAGACTTGACGCAAAATGTTGGTGGATTTTAAGAGGATCCAAGTTCAGGATCTCTAACAGGTTTCCTTTGAGGGGCTCAGCCTTATTCACCAGCACAGCAGAGCGTTAAATCAAATGTATGTGACAATAATTATCATACAGCTAGTTTGACCTACTGTTCAGAGGGAGGTTTATCAGACCTGAAATAAAAGCTTATCCAGGTTTGGCAGTTTTACGTGCAACTACAGGCCATGAAATTTTGTACCGACTCAAGGTCCCCAGATGATGAATCCTGTTGACTTTGGTGATCCCTGACTTCTCATGTTATGCCACTATGAGGTTTATATTTATGGTTAAACACAGTCATGTCCCCCTCAGGATGAATTATACTGTAATAACTTAAATTATATCTTAACTTTTCATCTAGTCCAAAAGGTCAACACATGTCTAATACTTTACCTCTGCTGTATTTGTGTTTAGTGCAAATGTTGGCATGCTAAACTAAGGTTACCATGGTAAACATTATACCTGTCTAACATCAGCATGTTAGCATAAGCGTAAATACAGCCTCTAGAGTCTTATAGTCTTGTTTTGTGTTGTGCCATTCAGACAGTGTTAGATTCTCCAGATTATAAGGACGAGTGCTCCTCCCATTATTCTAGCTGGTGCTAAATTAGACACAAATACACTGTTTGGTTGGTATGTCCTGGTGCAAATACCATCATATGAAAGCTCAGCATGGTATAATATCTGCTGTGGTTCTGCAAATTCACTCTTGGCTTGTATGCTGATTGAGTATTTATGTTATTACAGAGAACCTGCTTGTGTCACTGGGCGTATTTTAGCCAATAACTGGTTGATGCAAAAAATGGGCAAATGGGCAGTAAATTCATGCTGTCTTTTTATTACTTTAACGTGAATACCGTGCAAGCAGAGGAAGCACAAATGAAGCAAGCAATCTCCTTTTTTATTGGAACACGAAGCTTAAATAATTTCACAGTAACTCAAAGTTGTCCTGGTAATTTGCAAACAATTATGGTACTGTTAGGAACATTGACTGTTTACCCTTCTCTAATTCCCTCTCTGTAATCATTTTGCCAATTATGGTTATTGCTCCAATTTAGAACCAGACTCATGGGGACTGACTCAGAGAGTGTTTGAATGTGGCGGCGAAGGATTCATGTCGCTGCTCCTAAGACTAGAACAACATAAATACACCTACTATGTGATGGTGTGTAAATGTATTTGACTTGAAAAAATCCTTATTTCTGTCTTTTCATTTGTGTCTCTAGGTGCCCCTGGTTGACAAAGGTAATCTCTCCCGCCGTGCCTCTCTACAATGGCCTGGTCTTCCTTTTCGTCTTGGCCAACTTCAGCATGGCAACCTTCATGGACCCTGGTGTTTACCCCCGAGGTTTGTGTGCATGTCTGTGAGCGTGCAAGTGAGCTTTAGTGTCTGCCGATGGTGTAAATGCTGTTTCTCACTTTTACATAAATCTGGGGAAAACCACTGATACTTGCGATATCTTTCTGACATCCAAAAATATGACCCTCTGTCATAATGTATGTGCACATAAATATGAGTAATGTTTCCTCCCTGTTGAGTCCTCATTTAGGGGGCATACCTTTTAATAGCACCACATTTATCAGAGCACCGCCCTGCCCAATGTCTAACTACCCCATTATCTGTCTGTTAAAGTCCACATGCTCCAAATGCAGGACGCTGGTGGGAGTTATACAAACCTTCATATTGCGATGGTCGGCGTGTCAAACAAGCTGCACTGACTTACGCTCCTGATGCAGGCTTCTTGTCAGTGCTTATCTGGGTTAAAGCTTCTTGTCCTCAGTGCTGTCTGGGTTAAGTAATGATGATTGAACTCCTCCCCAAGGATGTTTGCAATGCGCTTGTAAATGACCAGCACCTGTCTTTAGGAATAGCTTTCCCTGCCCATAAAGTGGTAATAATCATTAGTTTGCATACAGCGCAGGTTATCAGCCTCCCCAGAGGTGACAGTGGCCTTCTGCTGCAGCTGCCCTGCTGTGTTTTATAGACTACTGAGTCTATAAGAGAGGAAAACACCAAAACAATCTCACAGCTCTGCCCTAAACCCTAGTAAATGTGGACAGACCAACATAAGGAGTATAGAGAGGAGAGGTTAAGGATAAAAACACAATACATATCTATAACATTAATAGTAATAATAATCATAATATTAATATTAAAAGATCATACATAAAAGATTAAATGTAAAAGGACACAATTTTCTGCCATAACAATGAGGACGTCTCTAAACCCTTGATGTTGTATCTCACAGGCAGCAGAGCCACCAGAAAAGTTTTACAAAAACAAAAATGAAGAACTGACTGACTGCCATTAAAAGACAGCTGCTTAGAAAATCACTCTGTCATCCAGACTGTAAAAGTGAGAAGGAAAGGTTGGTGTGTACGAAGGATTTTCCCATTCAGGTCATTGATGTATGGCACAGCAATTTATTATTCAATTTCTTTTTTGTGGGGAAATTGCAAAATGAGGTAATAAACCATAAACAGATGAAAGAGATGACTGTGGCTAATGAGGCTACACAGCTACAAGCAGAAATATGAGACAGTTCTGTAATTTAGTGCAATTTAGCAAATTTACTGCAATTCGCAATTGTAAATCACATTTTCAGACAGAAATGTTTGCTGGGTGTTTTTTATAAGTTTATCTGGCGAACACACAGTAGGCTAGCATTAACACTGTAGCCCACAGCCCTTTTTTATGTTTATTTGATTTGATTAACCTGTGAACTGGAACTGGAGTGACAAAACTAGTTGATTTGAGCATGTTGAAAGAAAGCATTAGCACTAATCAATATCAATAGAAGAGAATTATGACCAGACTCTGCTGTTCTCTTCAGTTAGGATTAGAGTTGTCGACCCTTTGAGCTTGTTTTGGTTTTACAGCCTGCATCTTCAGTGTTTTGGTTCAGTCTACCTGCTCTCAGGGTTCAGCATCCTCACTCTTAACTTTGAGTTGCCTAGCTCATAAACAGTACATACACAGTTCACACTTTCATAAAGACCACACACTCCTTATCATTGGCAAACACTTGTTCATATACCCGTGGAGAAAGCTCATTGACTAATGCATTCCTTAGCCCCTGACCCTAACCTTAGCCATCACAACTACATGGAAACAATTATGGCACTTACAGCTCCACACATTGTCACGCATTTCATCGACTTCCCAACAACATCCCCTATATGACAGAAGCAAACGCAATTCGTTCAAATACCCGGCAATACAGGAGTAGTAGGCGTAAATGATGGCACTCATATAAAGACCAACTTTCATTTCCAATGTGTACGTAGCTTATGTACATAATGTATTCTTTTAAAAATTGTCAAATGTGTGTTGAATATTCTCTTAGGAATTTCACCATTCAATGTGAATTTATCTTAGAATATTCTTTTATATATGGAATAACCCAGTAACTGTGTCTCTAATCAGCCTCCTCTTGGTACTGGCTAACACTTATTATTCATTCACCATTCTCTATTTCAGTGCTGTTCATACTGTTATATTGTCATATTGTAGATACTGTATACCAAATCCACCTACCTGCACAAAATACTTATTTATTCCAGCATCCTTTGCACTATGCTTCATTGCACTATGTACATGTGTACATGCACACATGTATATGTACCTGTATATCACATCCACCTCCGACATGTACAAACTCCAGCATCCTTTGCACTCTGCTCACTGCACTATTTGTCAATATGTCTATATTGTTTTTGTTCATAGTGTGTATATTTCTTTTGTCTACACTGAGGTCTGTGTCTGACTTTATTTTATTCTTATTATTGTGATTTTGTATTTTTGTATGAATAAGCACATCGTACGGAGCAATGTACAATCCAGAGTCAAATTCCTCACATGTGTACACATACCTAGCTGATTCTGATTCTGAAATCTATTCAGTGATTGGTCCTTGCCTACATCGTCATCCAGACACACACACACACACACACACACACACACACACACACACACACACACACACACACACACACACACATATAGATATGTTGGTGCTTACTTAAAGCAGTACAATCATTCCTCCTAATAGATATGTCCTCAGAATGCTTCTCTGTCAATAAAATACAGTCACTCGATGTTCCAAAGAGCACTACAACAAACAAAATCAATAAAAGTCCACCTGACCTTCATACGAGCAATCATTTCATCAGGGCAGCTGTTAATTCTACTTGAATATTACTGCAATTTAACATGAATGGTGGCAACAGGAAAAAGCCTGAAATATATTTGATAAAGACTGTGACTGTACAGACAAATAGATACATACAAGATGTAAACTGATGAAGCTAAACATGAGAAATTATAATAATTAGTGAATTAATGATACTTTAGGACTGCCTGTTATTTTTGCAGTGTAAATAAATGTATGTTGTATGAAATAGGCCTCTGCTTTGTCTGCTGAATGGAAAAGAAGCCGTCAGAGGAGACGCAAGCGTAACCGCCGTTTGTGTCTGTTTGTTTGGCAGGTGGTTTACCTTTTGAAGAGACTTGACATCCATAACACAACAGAGCAATCTCCGCTTTTGGATCTGTTTATTTCTGTGCTTTACCTTTATGTTCCTCTCTTGTTTTCTCTTTTCACTCTCTCTTGCTTTCTCTCCGTGCGCTCAGCTACCTGGATCTCCCTGCAGTCATTGCTGTACTGTGAAATTATTTTCTCAGGTTGGAGCTCGGTGTAGATCGTGTGAATGTGCCCTTTGATCAGCTGAAAGACGTTTTATTTTGCAGTGCAGCACCAAAGCTAAAAAGCTCTCAGTGGCAGGAAAGTGGCACCCAGTACAAAGCTTCTCATAAGCAGTTTGATTGACTGCAGAGTCGCACCAAGGACAGTCGAGATGCTCTCATACTGTATTTTAGAGGTTATGGGTTTGGTTTGTTTATGTCAAACAGAACAAGGCACTAACTCTGCCAAGGTTACAGGTTTAATTCCCATTAAAAAAAAACTTCTACTCTTGATAATGTATAAACTTGTGGGAAATTAAACCAACCAGCTTCTGTTATACGTGAGTCACAGTGTGCTTGTTAGTAGTAGTAATAAGTCACGTCTATAAAAATGTTCATTTCTGTCAGCGTTTGTTCTCTCTGCAGACAGCTAACAGCAGGGGTGAGCTTCATTTAAGGTGCTCCCCTGTTGTCCCTGTCAAATGGAATCCTAAATCAAAACCATGTCCGTGTTTGTGACTGTGGTTCTCACACTCCACCGTACGCATCTGTGCCCTGTTAATGTGCCTCTGTCTGTGTGTTGCCCCGCAGCGGACGAGGACGAGGACAAGGACGATGATTTCCGAGCGCCGCTCTACAAGAACGTGGAGATCAAGGGCATTCAGGTCCGGATGAAGTGGTGCGCCACCTGTCACTTCTACAGGCCGCCTCGCTGCTCGCACTGCAGTGTCTGTGACAACTGTGTGGAGGTGTGTGTGTATATATATGTGTGGGAATACATGCAGGCACTGAAATCTAAATGTGCACCAAAGTTAGACTGATATATTGGGTGGATAGGAACTTTTTTTTTTTCAACAATCTAATGCAGTTTGATAAATGATGCAGTTTGTTTGCACAAGTAAATTTTTTGTAGCTAGTCCCAATAATTAAAATCTGAGACAAACACTGATTTTATATAAAATCTCTCTCTCTATATATAGATATCTATCTATCTCTCTATCTATCTATCTGTCTATCTGTCTATCTATCTATCTGTCTATCTATCTATCTATCTATAGATATAGATATATATATAGATATAGATATCTATATATAGAGAGAGAGAATTTCTGTGTTTCTCGGCAAAAAGAATTGTAAAATCATTAAAGATCATAATTACTGGAATAAATATCAGCTTTTGGCAGCTTCAACCGTAAAATACTGTCATCAGTATTAGCTTTCAAATCCTTATTTTGGGCTTGAAAATGTACGCACATACATCAGGACATTAATATACGGCATTAATATGCAAGGGTTGTATTTCTGCAACCTTTCTTCTACATTTTATTTGAAAAGGGCTGAATGTTGGACTAATAAAACCCTCATTCAGCATACATTATTACACATGAATTGAGTTATAGGTTGGTGAAGGATTGAATCCAAGGAGGGTTAAAATCAAGGGCAACAGGGAGGAAGACATTTTGCCTCCCGTCCAAGATGAAATGTTTTCAAGTATCTTCACCGAGGAAGCCTCTTAGATGAGAGTCCACTTGCCCTTGATTTTAACCCTTTGTTGATAACTATGACCTGGATGACTGAGAATCTGCACAGACATGGATTTATAATGGAAATGTTTCTTCACCCCTCTCATCCAAGAACATTTTCTTCCTTAATTTGGTTTGCCTTATTAGTCTAGAGATTTAACTAGAAACTAGTGCCTTTACAGTAAAAAGACCGGTTGTAGCTCACATAATTTAATACCCCCTTGTCAGGACTTTGACCACCACTGTCCCTGGGTGAACAACTGCATTGGACGGAGGAACTATCGCTACTTCTTCCTCTTCCTGCTGTCGTTGAGCATCCACATGGTGGGAGTTTTCTCCTTCGGCCTCATCTTTGTCCTCCACCACCGAGAGAGACTGGGAGCACTGCACACCACCGTCACGTATCCTTTCACTGCTGGAAACCTCACTGCAAAGGCTCCTTCTCTTTTTTTAAATGGACTATTTGGTTGGTTGTCTGTTTAATTTTTCAGAGTGATGTTTCCTGAGCGGACAAAAGTTAGTGGTTAGTGCCAGTGGCTTTGGCTGTCTGAAGGAGTCAGTGAAGTTATTCTTGCAGCACATGTTCTTGTGACCTTATATTGTTGTTGTTGAGCTTGACCTTTGTGTCCAGTCTGGTGGTGATGTGTATAGCAGGGCTCTTCTTTATTCCAGTCATGGGACTCACAGGTTTCCATATGGTGCTTGTTGCTCGAGGGCGAACAACCAACGAACAGGTGAGAAGACACCAGCGCTCTGAATGTACAAACGCAAACAAGCATTTGAGGGGAAAAAAAGAAAAATGTATCCAGCTTAACATCAACAGAGCCGTGTTGCCCTGATTCACACTCACACAGATTCAGACCTTCACACCTGGAGCTGCTGGGCCTGCTTTCCTAAATAAAAATAATAAAAAAGTTGGAGCTTCTCTGGTCATCACAGTGTATTACCGGCTCTGCAGCTGCACATAATGCAGTCCAATTAGTCTGTGTGGGCAGTCATACATTTACCTTAATAAGGATAGTAAACACACACACACACAGTGAAAAGAATCACAGCAGGAGGCAGCAGTACAAATATTCCCACACACACTAATTATGTGATGCTTCAACAACATGAATCACCTTCTCTGTATTGAGTCACTGGACCTTTTTGTGTGTGTGTGTGTGTGTGTGTGTGTGTGTGTGTGTGTGTGTGTGTGCGCTCTGGCCTTGTGCTTCCTTTGCCGGCGACTCTAAACACGACATTGTGTACCTCAGGTGACGGGCAAGTTTCGTGGAGGAGTAAATCCCTTCACCAAGGGTTGCTGTGGCAACGTGGAGTATGTCTTATGTAGTCCCCTAGCACCTAGGTAAGATGTTTTATCATGTTTCGTGTGTGTGTGTGAATAGTAAATGCGTTTTTTGTCAGTACAAATTTAACCTACTAATGTTTTTCAATGAATTGTGCCATATTCGTGTGATGTTTTATCATGTTTCGTGTGTGTGTGTGTGTGTGTGTAATACAGATATATAGATGTGTACTAGGATTGTGGCTCATGAAAGCTTATGACATCCATGCCATAGCACCAGTGCAGCACCATCTAACTGCAATAATAACACAGACGGCAGCATTGTGTGTGTCTGTGTGTGTGTGTACGAGTGTATGCACATGCTCTGAGGTGGTGGTAGAGGTGTGCATCCAGCTCTGCCTGAAAAGAAGCCAGCAACCCTGGGGGGAAGGCAGATGGCTGAGAGAACTGAATCACTATGTAGAACAACAGTTAATGGGAAACAGAGCACAAAGCTAGTCAACGTGCTTTTTACACACACAGATACACAGCATCGTTTTATAACCTATAGGGACAAGTCCCATTCCATAAAAATCAACAGTAAGAGACAACGGCAGGTGTGGGTGAAATGCTGTGTTACAAGCATCTGCTGTTAAATTGTTGCATAGTCCCTGATGGAAGGTTTTCAATTTAATGAACCACTGACTCAAAGCATGTTGGACTTACTGACACTGAATGAACTGTTAGAAGAGCATTTTCAAATCTGACCACAAATCGGTAACATTCATTAAGTAACATAATTTTTTTAATGTAAGGGCTGATTACTTGAATGATGTAAAGACTGCTGGGAAAATATACCACATATAACCATTGAACATCACAGTGACAGACCCTTTATAATTATGAAAAAGAAAACTCACTTAAATGCCGTTTGTCCGTTTTAAACTGTGCAACCAGCCAAATGGGATTATGTAAATACAAAGTGCTTGACTAATTTTATCATTGTATTCTACGCTGTGCATCTCTTGAAGGCCAACATATGTTGATAGCGGAGTATAAAGTGCAGCATATCAAGTAGGAGAGGTATTGTTAGCTATTTAAGGATTGCTGTTTTTGTGTACATTTTCATATGAGATATATATATATATATAGTGCATATATCTGTGTATACCGAATATATCATAAGTTGGGTTTTTTTTGTTGTAATGTAATGTTTTAAATTTTTTAAAACTGGTACAACTTAAATATATAGAGTATAAAAAGATGACTCCACATAACATATTAGAAATTATTATGTGATTAGTTATTATATAAGATTAAACTAAAGATGTAGAGTGTGGTGATAAAAAGCATAAGAAGGGCTTTCTGATTTAAATAAAAAAAAAAAATGGATTCAGTTTGACACAAATGTTTTTCTTCTGTGTTGTAGTCATGACGAGAAAGCTAGTGCTCCTCCTTTGTATGGGTGATGTATACTTTGACTGTAATAGGCAGTGGACATTATTTGGCTAAACATTTCAAATGTAGTGGCAGCACTGACTGGCGGACTGTACTACAAATTATAAATTAGGAAATTAGTGTAACCTGTTCATGCCTGTTGCCCATTTTTATGCAGGTACATTTTGGACCCCAGGAAAAAGCCCCGCGCCAAAATTCAGCCCCCATTTATCAGACCTGACCTGTCAGATAGGCAAATCACCATCAAGGTCAGCGACAACGGTATCCACAGCACCATCATCAGCTCCAAGGTGAATCGCGCACAATTACCACAGAGCTTTTCCCTGTAATTTCCCTGTTACTCCTCCATCCACCTCACATACATTTAGTCGTTCTTCTGCAGTGGTGGCAGCATTTTCTCTTGCTTTATTATTATTTTAATACAGGCTCACACTCAAGGCAACAGATAACATGATACAGTGGCTCACTAAAGTCGGATATATGAATAAAATTTCCCCATTCCTAAAACAGGACATTATTAGACACTTGACGTCAAAGACAAGTGACTCACAGATCGGCAGCCATTTGTCTGACTGTAAAAATACAAAGTGAAGTGGCTCCAGTGAAGACAAGCGTCATATATTCCCTTTATGAGTAACCATATAGATTCTGTTAATTTGTCATTTATTTATAGTCAGCGAAAACTTTTCTGCAAACTGAGAGTGATTAAAAAATTTGGGTGAAAAATAGAGAAGGGGACTTTAAGGGGAACTCCACTGATTTTACACATCAAACACTGTTCAATCACAGTTCTTACATAGTTAAAAAAAGTTGTATAAAGCCTATTGTGGCTCCAGAGGGAAATGCACAAAGTATGATACATTTCCTAAAGTGAGTTGAGTCGGTGTCTATTGGGGCTGAAGACTGCAAGTATGAAAAATAATCTGGAGGTATTGAGTTAGAAATCAGTGAGTTTACCAGAACTCTGATGCAAAGATTTTGGTTATTTCTCTTTGTGTGTCTGACAGTTTTACAGAAGTACAACGCTAAATCGATTGAATACTCTTTTAAGATGAACAAATTAATGCTCTAGTGAGACAAAATCATTTTCTTTCACCATTTCCTCTCCATTAGACGCTACAAATAATTAATTTAATCCCAAGTAGAGCAGCTGCATATAGTGCAGCTTTGCTAGACTACAATCCTCTGTGAGAGTTGTGGTTGCCTCCCTGACACTAACACATGCTCTTCGCTATTTCATCTGCTGTGCCCCCTCCCCCCCCACCTGTTCTGGATGCTTTAACACCCTGCTCTCCTCCCTGCAGTCCAAAAGTAGCCTGGATGGCCTGGACAACAAAGAAACCCAGCCTCCGCTTCCGCCCAAGGCTGACAGGTACAACCAGCTGAAAAGCCAGCTGACGTCGAGCGAAGGTAGGAAATACAGAAACGCAGCATCCCAACCCCTTCTCTTTCCATGTCAGTCATCATCAATCCCATTTCTCTTTCCTGTCAGGGCTGCACCAAACAGCAATTCCCCCAAACTCCCTTTGTGCATCACTAGTGTCCCAGAGTGTGACTTGGCGCTAGTTTAGTGTGATAAATGTCCGTCCCACTGGCAGGTCAATGGCCTTCTTTATGTCGGGCCGGAGAATAGGCTTGATTTGTAGCAAGGAGACGAGCCCCGTTCACTGAATCAGCACTAGACTTGTGGTACAATGGAAAGATTTCATAGTGAATCATTGCAACGTGAATCACCACCTTTTTTCTGGTGGTATGTAGCAACAGAGCTCTGCCAAATGGAGAGATGGGAGAGGAATATGGTCTAGAATGAGACTTTATCTAAAAAGTGAGTGACTGTTGTGTCGTTATGGAGGTGTGGTGGTTTTACAGCTAAGGGTGTTAACCAGTGGTAATATGTTCTTTGTACTGTTTCATTCAATAGTATGAGGGGTCAATAATAGATAGGGTGAACCAACAACAGCAAGATCCCAGAGGATATTCAGTGCTATGGTGCATTTGGTCAGGGAGTGAACACTTTCTGCTCTTCCATGGAGCAACACCACTTCCTGGTGGTACTTCAGCGTACTGCAGCTGGTCAAAATGGACTTCCTCCCCCTTTTTCTAATGTAATTCAGAGGACTGATGATTTGTGGAAGTAAGCGTTCTTTGATTATCCGTCAGAGACACTCCCATGCACCAGAGCACAGGAGCAGCTACTTGCTAAGAAGGACCGTGGGGGTTTCAAGCTTTGTTCAAGGATAAGGTTGTTTGTCAAAGATGGACAGCTGTCTGTTGCAGAACTCAAACGTGTTACATGTCAGTCACAGAATGGACTCATCTGACTACCCACCCACGTCATTCTGTAGGAATGGTGAGGGTGTGTGTTCCAAGAACTCAATCCCTACAGCCTCTTTATTCTGCTAATGGAATTCAGCTCTGAGGTCATTTCTTTTCTCCCAGAAATGACTTTCAATCCGAGATAATATGAGAGTGTAATTTCTATTATCTCAACATTGTTAACTTGTTCCCTTTTTCTATGTGTGTTGTAGAGAGTTCCCTTTCTGGTAAGACCCACCCTTCCACTCCAGCCATGTACAAATTCAGGCCGTCCTTTGGCACCATGCCTAAAGTCCACTACCACACTGCTGGAGAGAAGGTAAGACATGATTTGTTTGGCACTTATGCATGAGATACATTCTTAATGTGGTATTATGACATTTTATCGCCACCCTGATTTCCAGGGGTAAATTGCCTGTTGTAAAAGATTCAGTAGCAGTTGTTAAAGACATTTCCACCTAGATTTGACGTGTTATTCTGTTGTTTGCTCCTCAGATTGTCATTCCAGATGACCTGAAGACCTCGGCCATCTTGGAAGAGGGTGTCCGTGGTCATGACTACCGATCTGAGCCAAACCTAGACCTGCCTGAGTACACCAACGCTCCCCTCCACCGCACCTTCCAGTCCTCTCCCCTCCAGCTGGACTCTGACCCCATCAACTCTCGCTCTCTCACCCTGAAGCAGGGTCACCGCCTGCCAGAGAAGGGCCAGCTCCCAGCCCTGCAGCCAAAGACAGTCACGTCCACCCCCTATAAGAGTGTCTTCTCGCCCAACACGCTCTCCAACCGTAATGGCAGCCTGTCTTATGACAGCCTGCTTAACCCCAGCATCTCCCCAGCCACTGCCAGTGAGTGCATGGCCCATCGTGGTATGCCCTCCATGGGGTTCCACTCGCCCTACCTGCCCACCAAAATGTGCCACATCCGGGAACCTGAAATGCAGAGACAGCAGGTCGCCTCCACCTACAGTCCAGTGATGCCACCCAGGGGGGTGGGCAGGCAATCTCCTAACCCAAGGGACAGGGACCCATCCCCTGTGCGCTACGACAACCTCTCCAAGACCATCATGGCCTCCATCCAGGAGCGAAAGGAGATAGAGGAGAGGGAGAAGCGGCAGATACTGCACGGGCGCTCCCAGACCCATATCTATGCCCAGGACTCTGGCGTGTTTGATGGGGGCTATGGCCTACCCTCCAGCGCTTGCTACACAGATGGGCCTCGTGGCCCTAGCTCCAGAGGCCCAACACCTCCTGCCTATGGTGGCTCCAGGGACAACCTGGTGGGGGTGGGGCTGGTGAGCTATGGGCAACGAACCCCTGTGTTGCGCCATGCCGGCTCCACGCTGGGCCGCGCCCCTAGGACTTCATCCACCTCCCTACACACAGATCACAGTAGCACCAACAGCAGCCACAGCAGGGCCACTGGCCCCGAGGGCCCCTATCGCTCCCCGGCCCATCAGCCCCACTCCCCTGCCATGCCCCGATCCCCCTCCTACTCCCGCCAAAAACTCTCCTACATCAGTGCCCATGAGAGGACAGACTCACCTCGTCCGGGGGGCCCAAGGTATGAATCCTAATGTAACCCCAGTGGAACTGCATGCGTTGTACTGAGCCAGTGGGGACTGGTGAGCAGTGAATGTATTCAAACTGGAAACCCTGCTCCTTCAGCTGGACACAGCCAGAAATTCATGGGCGCTAGTGTACTAGTCCTAACTGAGGCAATGTGTAGCATTTGTGTATGGTGTCTTTGTCCAACTGTTCTGTCCATTTATTCATATTAAGTACTGTCTGGTGGGAATTCTTGTTGTTCTGTTCTGATTTATGTTGGCCTTTTTAGTAAAATATCCACTTTTGTATGATTTGGCAAATGACAGATGAATAAAGTTGTGTGACTCCTCTAATTTCTTTTTCTTTTGCATGCTTTTCACCTGCACATCTTAACATTTCCAAGCCTTTTGCTTCACTAATAAGTACACTTTCAAGTTACGATCCACATTGCTATTCTGTTTTGTCATTTAAAAATACAAAGTAATCTGCATGCTGCCACATGCTTTATTGTTTGGTTTGTGTTCTTCTTCTTCTTCTCTTTGGCTCTTCGTGTTGAATTAATTTCTCTGTTCTCCTCTTTCCACTCAGAGAGGCCATGAAAGTTAATGGGCAGACGGACTGCCACCCCAGTGCCCAGGGCGCCACCCTCAGCCCCAGCCGCCACAGTAACGTCAAAAAGGTGACAGGTGTAGGAGGCACCACGTATGAGATATCGGTGTGAGCAGGGACACTGGATCCACTTCCAACGACCACCCTACAAAGAGATTCTCTCCTCTCTGTTATTTTTGTGAAGTCTAGATAACGGCCAGTCAGGGGCACATAGCACTCCTCCTTGTTTTGGAGTTACTGTCCAATCAGAGGATCTGTCTGCTCCTGTGTGGGTCCGTCTAGCCAATTGCCCGTGTGTGTTTGTACCAGAGGGGTTGGTTGTCAGATGATACCGCTGCAGGCTTTATGTGTCCTAGAGTGTCTTGTTGTAAAAAAAATTTGTGGCTCATCATCTTGGTCGTAAGGGTGGACCGTCCCACAGATGGTCAAAGTTATTACTGTCGTCTGTCAGCTGTGGTCATGAAGCGTACGTTTGTCACACACAAACTTTGCTCCAGTAAGGAACTGAAGGCTGAACAATAACACTACAGATGAATTAAACACTGACATCCTCATCATGGACCTCCGGGAGAAGACTAGTGTCTTTTCCGAGTCGGTTGACCTCAAGAAGTCAAGGTGCTTCGCATGAACTTGTACTGTTCATGTCATCTCCAGCATATTTGGTGGAGTTGTAGAGCTTTGAGAAGTGATGGAGGACAGATAAGTTAGATCAGAACCAACTGCACCAACGGGCAACACAAGACAAGTGAGATGAGATGCTGGGAAAGGGGATATCAAGAGGAGACAGTCATCGTATCATGTCTGGTGGTTGCATTCCAAATTCATCGAGAAACGCTTGCTTTTAATTCAAAATAAAATGTAAAACGTCCTTCTTTGTCAAACAGACATTTCTCAGGAATGAATGCAACCAGCAGAGATGCTAGATATTAATTCATATATTATGAATGTCTAATATTTTTAGGGCTTGAGTATAGCTTAGCGCCCTTTATTCCCCTCACGAAGGTGCAGTACATCACCATAGGCTGCTGTTTGTTTTAGTGAAGTTCAGTGATTTCAACATGACCCATGAAACAAGTGCTGGGCAGATTTACTCGTTCTGAAAGATCAGAATACCTCATCCCAACATTTCAGAACAAGTCCAGCCTTGCACAACCAAAACAACTTTTCTGTTTATGTTTTGTCTATAAAATAAGAAAGAAATGTTTAGAAATGTAAGTTGTGTTTGTGTAACTATCATAGGAATGGAAAAGTATAAAGAAACAAGCCATTGTCCAACGTAGTCAAATGAAGAAGGTCAGTCATTCATTATTTTGTAGTTTTTCTAAAATCAGTTTGTTTCCTTTTTCTATACCCAACCTTTCAAAAGCTTTGTTTGATACATCTTTTTTTATACAGATAATTAAGCCCGGAATGGGTGTTTTTATTTTGAGTGGAGTTGTTTTTTGTTGATAAATTATAAGTTCAGTAAATAAATAAGATCATGGTAATGGATAAAATTAATTAAGTAAACATAGCTTATTCTACCTTGCAGTGTAAAAAAACAAAAAAAACAAAAAAAAAGTATGATGAAAAGATTTGTAATATGAGGACGTGAAATATTAAAGCCACAATCTTTGACAAGTGAACAGTTACATAATCCACATTGCCAATATGTGCTGTACACAAGACAAGGATTAGGCTTTCAGTAGAAGCTGTCATGAGTTTTTAGTGCCAAAATAGGCTACCCACCCTTCAGTTTATCAAAGACAGTGAACAGGTGATGTCCCAAAGATGGAAAATATCAAATCAATAAATTTTCAGCAGCTGTCTGGTACAGCTCCAGTATTATCCACTCAGAGTTAGTCATTCTTTTTTTTTTTTTGCTGTTAATTGAAGAAAAGACTCATAACATGTATTACATTTGACCATTAAAATGAACATATATCCAAGTGGAAGGTTTTTATTTATATTTTCCACCCACTGACTGAAAAAATACGGCAGAATTGACACGGATGTGAAGTTGTAAATTAGCGTCATTTGTATTAACAATAAACCATTGTTGCCTTCTGAGAGGAAACGCTGTTTCATACACAACGAAATGTGGCTAGTGGAAACACTATTGTACGCTAAGGGACAATTAAATACCATTAGTGTTTTGTATTGAGCAGATCAGAAAGTTCTGCAAGAAAGGCCAATGTACAAGAAATAATAGTAATTAATTATGAAATGCCAATAGTTTAGCAGGATTTTTTTCCTCTTCCCATATCTGATACATTCATAGATTCCTTTCTCCAGAGATCAGAGTGTAAAGGCCGGTGTCTGTGGTAGTCTTGCTTTCTGACAAGGTCGGCTGCTGTAGTTACAATCTTCTGGCTTGTATAGTCTCCCTTTTAAGATCTCACCCAGCTGCCTTAGCATGAACAGAGTAATGTGAAGTAACACAGGAGACTCTACTAAAGTTGTGTATTTCTGAATTGTTGTTTGTTGTAAGGCTGTGGTATACAGGGCTACTTTGTCAACAAGTCTGATGTGTAAACTGTCAGCAGAACAGCTAACTGGAATATATTGAAATACCTGAATAGACAGTTAGCTGCTGACTTGGCCCAGTCCATCATGACTTTCAGACCCCCGTTAGACCACGTCTATAAACACTTATCGATGTCATTCCTCTCTAAGATGACTGCCATTAGTCCAAGGTTTTCTTTTGGGATGGACATCACTGCAGGTCAGGGACCATTCCTGACTGTCAGCAATGAATCTGTTCCATCAGACGTGAGCTGATTTTGTTTTCTGAAACTCAACTAGAAAGTTCAATATGTATTAAGATATAGAATATACTATAAATGTAAATGCGTTCCTATTTTTGTGAAGAGGAAATATTTCCCAATGACCTGAGTGGAGTAAATAAAAGTTTCCGACTCTTTGAGTGAATGAGTGATTCTTGTTAATAAAAAAATAAAGATGTAGAACATCTGCACAACACTGATTATCATTCTTTAACAGTTGTGTAACAACTGCATTACATATGTCAAAATTCAACCCAAGCCTCTGCAGGATTGGTAGTTTGCAAATAAATAGTCACATGTTGTTTAAACTCCTACAACCCTCAACACAATTTTTGTTTTGAGATATGTATAGAGCAGTATCATTTATAAATTGCACATTTTTATCATCAGCTATCCCAGGAAACAAGTGAAAATTACATGAATGCAAACATGGTCTTTGACAGCTTTTATTCGAAGGTGGAGGAAACATTTCAAATCATTTGAGTGCAAATGAAAAGCAACATTTCATCCATATACATGTATTTACAGATGCACGGGCACTTAGATGCGCTTTAGAGGCAAGGTTAAGAACTCAATTAGTGGAAAGAAAAGGAGGGTGGTGAGCACACAGATCAGATAGGGCACACTCTGTTACATATACTCTACATGCTTAAAGTCTGGGAATGTTATGACCTAAAGAATAGAAACTCAGATTTCCTGGTGACTTAAGTCAGAGAATAGCTGCACCAAACTCTGATGAACCGTTGACTTTGGACTTTATGGTTTTCAGATATAAAAAAAAAGAAAGAAAAAAAAAGTAAATGCTTAGCTAAGTGCATCTGATCTCCTATCAGTTTTATCAGTGGACAATGTGATCTGCAGCGCGCATCTGATGCCCTTCAACTGTCTGGAGTGGATTCCTCTTCTAGTCAGCTCCCAACAGAACCGATAAAAGGAGGAACCAAGAAAGGACTAGTTCTACAGGCATCCGCTGAGACGTCGTCACCTTATTTGTTTCTGACAGCGGAAGCGTGGACAGGGTAAGAAGGCCCACTGAGATGCATCATGGGATTTTATGTTCATAATGCACCTCCATAATGCCTGGTCCCTGACCCTGTGCTGCTAACAAGCAGGCTACATTATCCTCTCTCCCTCTACAAACAAACTCCGCTTCAGAATAACAAAAACAAAAAAATACCCCAATGTGGGAATTATCACTATCACAAGCCTTTTTTCACAGTTTGTCAAAAGTAACATTGAACTGTAGATGACGAGGAAAGCATGGCATTCCATGGTGCAGAAGGAAAAGGGGTGGGAAGGAAAGTTTGTTTTTTTTCTCATGAATTCACTATGTTATATTTTCTCCCCTCCCCCCCAGTGGCATCAAGGACTTGTGATCTTGAGGCAAAACCAATAATAAAAAAAAAAATACTAATAATATGCAAGTGTCCAAATTCAGTTCATTTAGAGTCTATTGTAGAAAAAGAGGAAAACTGATAAATTGAAGATCAGCAAAGCAAAGTTCTTGGTTTTCAATTCTTCTCCTCAGCCTTCACCTCCTTTTTCTCATCTTCTTTCTTCTCAGTCTCCTTTTTGTCCTCTTCCTTCTTCTCTTCTGACGCCTTGTCTTTTACAGAGAGTTCCTCCAGCTTCTCTGCCACTTTGTTTGCGCTATCAGTGTTGCCTGTTGCAAAACAGTGAAATGTTTAGTCAACTAAAAACCTATGAAAGTTAACACATCTCAGTTTTTGCATGAATTTTGCTTGCCTGGCATGTAAGTTTGTCTTTAAAACATTCATGATATTTTCCCTTTGCATCCCAACTTAATATTCCACCCCTTCATACTACCACAATGTTTCACTTATGACTTGACGTGGACCGTGTGACGTTTACGCTACTGAGTGTATGAATTGTAATGTTGCAGAACATAGCGTCACCAGCTTTTCAGAAAACCAGCTACGTGTTACATTCTGCACGTTTATGTAGCAGACAGAAAAAGTCCGATGCTGGAGAGAGCAGCAAAGAACAGAGTGTGTCTGCATATTCATCAATGTGTAGTGTCACCCCGAGCTTGAATGTAATTTAAAACAGGTCTTAATACACATCACTCCCCCATGAGTAGAACTGTGTTGGCGGCTCTGATAATATAGGCATGTCACTATGTAACGTGGATTCCAACTCTACTAAACCAATGCACATTTTAAATAACGTATTTGCAAAAAACATTAAGTTTCACATACCCGTTCCCTCTAGATTTTTTTTGACCTCCTCCTTGCACTCATCAAACTTTACCTTGAACCGCTGAGCATCTGTAAACAGAACAGAGAGTTAGCATATATTCACATCACCATGCTGTTGTGCGGCTGCGGCATCATTCTGACAAATGGGAAAACCAGTGAGAAAACAGCTATTTCACTTCAGTGTGTCCACCATATAATCCACTGAACCGCTTCAGCCAGTAGTTTCGAAAATGGGTTCATTACTTGAAGCTTCAGTCGCAGTGAGCTCTCCTGGCAAAGTGCAAGGCTGCAGGCAAATTAGGCAGTCTAGCTGGTGGACAGGAGGCTTTTAACATGCACACACGCACGCTCTTCAATAAAGCAGTGTTGGAAACTACTTTACTTTTGTAGAACAGACGTTTAGTTCTGAAGCATCTTTGCTTTGGTCACCCTTGGATTTAAATTATGGATTAGATTGGACATCATGTTCCATTTCCAAATAAAGATTGGTGTATGTTATGTATTGTGTTGTAGAGGAGAGTGCGCTGGGAAAAGATGGCATAGGTTAGGTGTGCTTGTGTAACTATGGCAGGGGCTGATTGTGCGCGACGGGGAACACAAAGATTCAATGATTTCGAGACGATTGAGGCATCAGTGCAATCACTAATAATCCATGTTCAACACTGGTTTGGGCACCCTTCAAGTGTGATATTGGGTTAGATACTTACTTTCTGCATTTAAAAAGCGTATTGCCAGGAGCTCAGGTTTGGGACATTCGTCAGCATAATCTGCTAGTGTGTTCCACACCCACGCCCTGTCACTGCCAGCGTTGGGCTTCAGCTCCATCGTAGGTACAACTGTAGTTCACAAGAGAGGGAACAAGGTTGACACATGAAAGCATGATACATGATGTAAGGATATACGACAGCCTACCCGAGGAAATCAGTCAGTGAACTCTTTTAAATCCCTTCTTAACGCATACTTTTATAGGAGACTTTCTTGATTGTAGTTGATTTTAATTATCAATTTTTCTTTTAACCGTATTTTAAGTTTCTTCCTGCTTTTATCGTGTATCTTATTTGATTGATGTGTTTTATTGTCTATGCTCGTGTGAAAGCACTTTGTGACATTGTTTTAAAAAGTGCTCTATAAATAAAGATAATTATATTCAATCTGTGGTAAGTTATACCTTCTGGTTGCACAATACACTATAAGTTAATGTTAACTATATAATCTAAACATTTAGATTAGTTTGGTGCCGTTTCTGTTCTTACCAGAACCTGTAGTCCGTGTTTACTACACTTGGGAAAACTATATTGTTAACTGTCTCCTTACATTTGTCTTGTTCTCCATTCAGCTGTACTTGCATTTGTTTGGGGGAATGCAAATATTCAATATAAAGCACTTATCTGAGAAAATCATGTAAATGTGATGCACCCTTCTTGATCGGTGAGAACAAAGGTGACAAACTGCACCATGTAACTAGGGATGGCAATTTTCGGCCAGAGCCGAATATAATGAAAAGCTTCACGAATACCGAACAAGGTTTTTCACCTTTTTTTGTTGCCTTTCCCCCCTCTATTGCATAAATTAAATAGTCAACATGTGCATTTTACTCAACGTTTCCCACAGGTTTTGAGGAGACTATGGTGGCTGGGTCTGAGGCCCGAGAGGGTCCGGTAAAGTAAATTACATGAGTCCATTTACTTTTAATGGACACATGTAATATGCTTTATACTTTCTCTGAATATAATCCAATTAATCTTATTTCCATACTTAGACTTATACATCTTATTTTGAAAACCGGACGTTGTCACATGTGTATCCTCGCGCTAAATGAATCAAATCCGAACCAATTTGATAAATAATGTTGCATGTGGTTCTCATATGGCGTAACATGAAGACTTCACAGCCTCTATTCAGGTAGGACTCTCATACTGCAACACTTGTCTTTGTAAAGACAGAAACTGACAGGATAAAGTCGCTAACCTGCCTGGCAGCTCGCCCTGGGCCGTTTCAGTGGATTTACCATAAAGGTTTGAATCCGTGTGCGCTCCAAATTTAGGCGTGGCTAGCTTAATCACCCTCTCAGAAATGAGTGACAGAAACACTCAAAGCGGGTCAGTCAGACTTTGTTGCCTTTTCTAAGAAGTCAGCCACAGACAGTGTGGATGTGCTGGGAGACAATTCAGCAGAACAGTGTTTGCAAACGGCGATTTTTGCATCTTTCTCGGACACTTTAAAATGCTTCCACAGTGTCAACATGTCAAAAAGTAAATGTTCAGAAAAAGGACATTTTATATATGTCTTACTATAGTAAGTTGTATCACAATATAAAAATAGCATTTTAATTATATTTGTTAACTTGACTCACCGTTATGATTGGCACAAATCTTCAAGGTTCGGTCTCTCCTCATCAGGAGGCGGATTGTGCCCCTCTCTTTGTGTTTCAGCAGCTTCACATCACCAGTCCCCCTCTCCTTCCACTCTGGAGGGTCGTTCTCAGAGGCAAAACGATATAGCTTAGCCCGCCTGGGAAAACAAGGCATACTTCATTAACAGGGTGCCACTCCTGGCGAAGACACCAAAGTACTGGCTTACCAAAAAGTCCCAGCACTGGGCAGCAAAATGCAAATTAAAGCAAAACATGCAGGTGAATAATAATTTAAAACCATTAAAGCAACTTACATCTTAAAGAGTTCTTCCTCATCCTCTTCTAGTGTTTTCACATCCTGCTCAGGAAGGGACACAATGGGCTCAAAGTGGGGGTCATGATTAGAGTCCTCTGCGTTATCTGCAGTGGTGTCGTGGTCTTCCTGGTCCTAAAAAGGATAAGCAGTGGATGAGTTAGTGCAAATTCAAAATTTCCAGGTATCCCCTTTCAGACATGCACAGCAAGTTAAATCAATTAGGCGTGTGGTATGGTCAGTGTGAGTCAGTCT